ATTGCTCTTTCCTAAGCATGCTGTACTGCGAATCCCTCGAAAGACACATCTTCCTTGTATTCTGCAACGATTTTGAATTACACTAGTTCATGTTCACATACATTCTTCTTAAAAGCAAAACATTGTTGACCATTGTTGGTCGTTCAATGACGTCAGAGGCCAACTCACCTCATTCTTCGCTATTGCTCTGTCATGGTCACGGAATGGGCTTATTTTACGGGCTTCAAAAATTCATAGGAAATTAATGAAACTATCTACAACGATAATTTTTTCGCAGTGGTAATCAGAAAAATGAGGAGATATTCATGTTATATGTTACTTCTGTTTATTTGTTGTACATATGTCTATGTTATGTATGTTACTGCGTAAAGACATAAATGATATATGTTGTTTTATAATCCATCAAATATTTTCGCTCGCGCGCGATTGGTCTAAACACGTCACATGACCGAATATTCCCAGCTAAAACTGGGGAATATCGGAGAATATTCTCCAATTTTCAAAACTGCGCGTGTTGCGAAAACGATTTGAAGGATAATAAAAACTATAGCCTCCATTTTGCGCGAAAATATGCTCGGACATTATCATTGGACATTATCTGTTCCTCGCTCTCGGAAAACTGTTCGCTTCTCGGAACAGATAATGTCCGCGGACAAATATCCCAGCATATTTTCGCCCCAAATGGAGGCTATTGTTTATATATAATATATGTTCCTTTCTTCTAGCCAGCTAATTTACAGACATGTCGCGAAACAGGTTAAACGTGCACAGCTTATCTGTTGCTAAATTGGTTAGGGTGCGTTCCTTATGGGTGATTTGGATCAGGATCAGTGATCTAAGATCACACGGATCATAGCATTGTTAATGCTGTTAGTACTATTAATGTCGAGTATTTACCTCTTAACTTAGTTTTTAAATAATGTTGTTATTTTGGTTGAATTTTAGATTTTTAATTTAGGTCTTAAGACATTTATAATAAGGCCACAGGTTTACTAATTATATTAAAGTGCAACTAACCCCAATTTTTTTTTCTCGCTTATTCCAAAGATAAATACCGATAGTTTAAAAGGTTCCGTGGCTGCGTGGCGCAGTTTGTAATATATACTAATTATACAACGATTTCGAGTGGTATACTGTGGAATACCCCACGAGTCACTTGAATTTTCTCGGTATACATACGAACCATTAGGCGAGCATGTATACCAAGAGAATACAAGTGACAAGTCGGACATTCCGTGGTATACCACGAGAGAGCGTTTGCATAACTGTTTTATACCATGCCATAGAAAATAGAGTGGCCAACACTCGGGGTGGGGGGCGGGGGTACTCCCTTATATGGGCTATACAGATATGTGCGGCCTCAAAGGGTAGGGTTTTTCAGCCGTTTTGGTCGTAAATAGGGTGTCGATTTTGGCCATTTTGGTCTTAAATAAGGTATGGTTTTAGCACTCTAGTCTTGAATTGGGTATGTTTCTTGGAGGAAACTGCTTTTTCATCATAATTATCAATAAGACCATCAACAAAAGCCCTTCATAACTTATGTTTAAAGCAACTGTGCCAGCCGCAATGGTCATAAATAGGGTATTGAATTTTTGGGCAGGTCATAAATACTCGTAGCAAAAGTCGCAGATTTTGGTCATAAATAGGGTAAGGGTTGTGGGAAGTGGGCCGCACAACCCCACCCAACTATTCTGGGAGTAGCCCCTCCCCCACCCCCCGGGACATTTGACCAGATTTTGGTTCACTGGACCCATGCATTATGTTAATGCCTCATTTTACATAATTTCAGGAAGCTAGGTTGCCACGTCAAACTTCTTTCACCCAGCGAACTCAGAGTGCAATTTCCCTGGCTCAACACAGACGGAATAACACTAGCTTCGTTGGGTAAGCATTATTTAATATTTGTATTGCATTTTAGGAATAAATCAACCCTTATTAAAAGTTGGATCATTTCATAATGCAATTCGAGAGTTTTCATTGGCTCAGCCATCATGGGTTATGAGCCATTACACCATGCTGTACAAATATGGTAAGCGTACGTGTGATGTTTTGGGGCATTTTTATTTGTATTTTAGTCTAGTTTTCTATGTTTTGGGGGCGTCTCTAATAAAACAATTATTCCACTCACGCTTGTCAGATATGAGATGATTATAGCCAACTTGGCGCTCACGCCTCTAGCTCATTGGCTATCTACCACCTCATATCCAACGCGTGCTCGTGGAATTGCTAACTGTGTGATCAATGTAATATTTCAGGTACAGGAGATGAAGGTTGGTTTGATCCATTGTCTTTGCTGAAGGCCTTCAAGAGGAAGGCCACACATTTAGGCGTGGAATACATCTCTGGAGAGGTCGTGGACTTCTTTTCAGATCTGAATGGACAAATAAGCGGTGTTAAGGTTTGAGTTATTGTATTTTATCGTACTGCTGACCAATTTAGAGATAATGTGCCAAAATTTATAAAGGCAAATTAAGATAAATGTCATTATCAAGTTTTAAACAAATAAATTTGTGGTCTTCTACCCCCCAAATCAATATATTTTTTTATAAAACAACTCTCCTCAACTCGGTTGGAATTAAAAAATGAGCTTTTCGAGGTCACATTCCACAAAAGTTAACAAAAAACTACCCCCCTAAGTTTTAAAAGCTTGTGTTCATTATAAGAACGATAACTTACTAATGCATGGCTCCAGAAGCATGGAATTAAGTTCATCCTGTCCATAACAAAGTTGTCCTCTGAAAACGGTGTTTTGAGTGTCTTTTTTTTTCTTGGAAATGGGGAAAAACCTACTGGTAAGAGTTGTAGTAATAAGTATAGCTGCCAAATTACCCCAGCGACTCCTCCTTTTTAATTATTCAAAATGGCCACCAACAAAAGTTCGAGAAAATCAGACCCTAAAGTGGGGTGTAAAAGTGGGTCATTGTGAAAAGTGGGAGCGACGGTCCCACTGAGCCCTTCTTTTTAATTTATTCAAAATAGCTGCCAATAAAAGTTCGAGAAAATTGCAAAAAGTGGACAAAATTCTGGTGCGTAAGGGGGTACTGTACTGGTGGGGCAAGGGAAAAGTGGTGCGAGAATGACGTCATGAGGAGGGGGTTTTGGGTAGCCAATCACAGGGTGCAGCATGAGGTTGAGGTTTTTTTGAGGAGGAGGGGCTGCTAGGATGACGTCATGAGGAGGGGTATGCTCAGGCTGAGGATGATGTCATGAGGAGGCTGGTGACGTGATGGGGATTCCCCCTCCTCTCCCGCCTCCTCTCCTCCATTGTGTGGGTTGACGTTGGGAGGGGATACCCCTTATTTTTGGTGATGTCACAAATGGGTGACACTCAGTAACCATGCATTTCGAAAATGTTCAGTAACTTTTCACTGAAACTGAAAATGGCAAATTGCAAACATATTTTCATTAGCGCTTTGTGTCCAGAAACTGAGGGACAAATCGAATAAGCGAAAAACAAAATTTGCTTTGACTTGTAGCTTTCAAAAGATGATTCAGACGCTCACAATTAGAGGTTGTAAAATTCTATTTCAAAATTTTTGGTATAGTGCATGTGATTGCCAGCTTAGTAAACGTTTATTTGATATAAGGGTTTATCGCTTGGACGCGAGACGCCTCTGAAGATGTAAAGTAACCTTAAAAAAAGACTTCAGCATGCAACGACTTTCCACTTAAAATAGGCTACATTGTCGATCCGAAAGTTGCATTAATCGAATTTAAAATCTGCATTGTCTGTATATAAAAAGTCAAAGTTGAGTGGTAGTGATAAGGAGCTTTTGAGTGAATTGTCTCCTTTCATGTGCATTGCACAGCTGTAGACCAGTCACAGGGTAGCAACAGTCATTATATTATATGAAATGTTATACATTGATACATTTATTTATATCAGTATCTTCCCTGCTGCCCTTCTGTCTCCTTAGGTGGCTACCAGTTCCTCTCCAAATAATCCACAGACCGTCGACTGTGGAACAGTGGTTAACGCTGCAGGTCCGAGTGCAGGGCATCTCGCAAAGAAGCTTGGGATACATTTACCAGTCGAACCAAGAAAACGGTTTATTTTTGTGTTAGATGGTGCTGAAGCGTCCAAAATAAATGAGATGCCATTTGTTATCGATTGTTCTGGGGTAGCTGGTCGTCTCGCAGGTGGTGGTTTTGCTTGTGGCATGTCACCATTAATAGTGAGCATCTTCTGTAGTTTTAGTTTCCTATTAGGTTGACTAAAATTGGAACTTAATTCCAATTTTGAGTCTTCAAGAAAATTTCAGGCAATTAAGACCAATAGGCGATGTTCGTATTCTTGGCATTGACCTGGAACAAGCTTGCAATGGAGGTTCATGCGGGGACTTCCCGTCACTCTACGCATGCTCAGAGTCAAGATTGCCCACGTCAGCTCGCGTTTTTCAAGACAAGGTTCCAGTTGCTTGGCAACAGTGACGTTTCGTGATGACGATAAGCTGACGTCATGTTTTTTTGGAATGCTTTGAAAAAGACTACCCATACTTAGCTAATAGTGTCGGCCAAGGTGCTTATGGGATTGCCTATTTTGGGGGAGTGCGTGGGAAGGGGATGGGTACCGTACATACGGCTGGCGCGGCTGAAATTTGAATTGACCAATCAGGATTCAGCAGGCGGGAAAAACTTTACTGTCTTGACGTTAATGTATGTTAACAGGAAAGACATTGTAATCGGGCAACTTTTCTCGCTGGAGATTGCATTAAATATTCACTAACCAGCATTTACATTTCCAAAAATCATATCAGATTCCAAAAATTGAAAAGTATGAAACATTTTGTTTCCCTAAGCTTCTAATTTGGCGCCAAAAATGGGTCACCGACAAATCGCTCGTAGTTCGTGGAGTGTCGTCAAGTAAG